ATTACTTGCTTTATTTACTAACTAATGCTTTTTCTGCGGAGATATCAGAAGATTTTAATAAAATTTTTTCATTCATTTATTCTTACCAACTCTTTCCCTAATAACCTTTTGCGTAGCCTGCTCGATCAATATTAACCGAATAGTAGCACACTTTATACCTACTCCGAAATGGATAGTTTTGTTAGAATTAATTATAAGTTACGATCTGACTCGTTCAGGACTTTGTTCCAGTTTCATAGCCAAGGAAAGTCAATATGTATAACTTTGTCTAACATATTATTATAAGTTATATACAGTTTTTGTACGACGAAATTAATTTGCTGTAATTTTAAATAAACATACCCCGCCTCTATCGACATGTATAATCAATGAATGAGTGGGTCGAAAGTTCGGAGTAGTTTTGGTAGTAATATTTTATACTGATTAAAGTTTTATGATAGATGGTAGAGTGGAAGTTTGTTGATTTTAGTCGATATATCAACTTGACAAGGTCTCATTACGGTATTTGTAAAATAATAAGAAGATGGTATTTTGCCTTCAACCTTATTTGTGAATGGAAAAATTATGAAAAAATAATAATACGATATAAAAAATAAAAATTAATGTATTATACATCGGTTCACGTACATACGCACACATATCCATTTTTCTGAGGTATGCCAAAATGTTTAGAAACCTCTGAAACGTGAAGATATGTAATAATTATCAATTACGATTTTTGAACGTTTATAATAACTTACTCAATGTAAACTTCTTCGAACAAACATTCTTAATCTTTCCTATAGAATTTTTATACTCTGCTTAGTGTTGAGCCAATTACATCATTTGGTGAAGTCCCAACATTTTCTGGTGGCAGCGGTGGGATAATAAATTTTATAAATACTGCATTATTACAATCAAGCACAATAGATATAAATATTCAATCCGGTAAGGAGTAGAGAAAAACAATTTCTTGGACAGCATTCTTTCCAACTTTTTGCAGTCACTATATCCTTTGAATCAGTTTCTATAGAGCTCGTTCTTAACTCGAAAGGAGGACATATAAATCTAATATCGAGCAATTTGTCACTTTAATCAATTCTTTACATCAGCCATCTACTCGACCCACTACCGATTTTCTCTTCGGACTGCTGGAACGCTTGCTGTTGTAATTATACGCCTTACATGTTCCTCCAGTGTTTTACTACTGTAAAACTTTATTGCATGGAGACTCCCCGCAGGGAAATAAAGCTGAGGATAGGAAATAAAGCAGCGTTTCCCAGAAGCAACTCTACTTATTGTATTCTGTATCAGGTTAATATATTATATTAGTTTTTTTTGTTCCCATCTGCAAGATGTGTACTAACTGAGGCGCAGTTTGTTCGTAATGCTAAGAGTTGTGCAATTTAGGTTGTTTTATGGTGTTTTTTTTTAGTTCGCTTGATGAATTGGATGAAATAAAAATTTAGGGCAAATAGTGAGATTAATAATTTTATTACTATAGTTTTATATTTGCAAATATGGTAAATAGATTTGATAGGAAGGACCAGTATTTGATATTACATATCGAAATTATAATTTACATTTTAAGTATTTCCATGATAAGGCTATATGGTTTTGAATCAATGTCATATATGGCAACTAAGTAAGTGTGGATTTTTGTCAGAAATTCAAAACATGTTTTATTAGAACTAAATAACTCAATTTTTTAGTTATCTTCCAAATAGCAACATGATCTCATGAAACTTTTGGTTCTTATTAGCAAAAAATTGAATCAGGCACAATTTGACACCATTATCATTATTGACTTCTCATGAAATCAAGGAGTTTTGTGAAAAAATGAAACTAAATGTAATAAGATGGTGTGAGATCATGACAATATCGTGAATGTGGTAAGACATTCCAACTAATATCCAATAATTTTTACTGAGTGGCCAAGGATATGTGATGTCAATAATGGAGTAAATCGGAATTTTGATTTGCTAGGCTGCTCATTTTCAACTGCATTGTTGAATTTTCATTAGTTGTTTGATGTAGACATCAGAATTGATCACTTGGTTGGTAATTACAGTTCAAAGTAAGTAATTCAATTTTTAATGAACTTCAACTGGACGACCAAAGTGTTTTTCATCTTTGAGTGAAAAGTCACCAGAACGAAATTTGGCAAACTAATTTTGCCTTTGCGCTGTGATTTCCAGGCTTTGTCACTATAAACATCCCATAATCCTTTGTAAGCTTAGGATGCTTTTCACCTTTGCAGAAACAAAAAAGCAAACCATGACATCAATTTTTCATTTGATTTTTCGTTTTTCAACGAATGCCAAACGAAAACTATGCAATCTATAGAAAAAACTCATTTTTACCGATAAGGACATCTAAATTGCCTATTGAATAACAAAATTAGTTTCATATTTGGACTACGTCAGCAAACCTAAAAATTCAATTGTAAGAATCTAAGCTGGAAGCCGCACTTACTTAGTTGCCAACCAAGTAAATTATATTTTGAATTTAGATAGGTGTTATGCATATTCAGAATCTAATAGTCATCTTTTTATATAGCGAGTTGAAATATGAAACTATGAAAGATAATATTTACTTGTGTTACTAGATGTTTCGCCTGGGTATATCGGAGTCAATAATAAAAATACCAACTAAAATCTCAGAATGCCTGGCATGTGGATAGAATAACAAAAGAATAATATGTGTGAGTAGATTATATATTGTGAGAGACAAATAGTGACATATAGAGATGAATATTGTAGAGAGTATAATTAGAGACAATAAACGAGTATTTAAAAATGAGGTGTGCTAATAGAGACGATTTTGTTCATTTGTCAATAATCTGTAATTGAATAATCTTTGATCAATATTTCAAGTTCATCACATACTAAAACATAATCCCAAGCCAAAATTACACTTTGTACCTATATTAATACCGGTGTATTCTCTAGTGACGATTCAAATCTTAATAATCGCCATTTAATACCGAATTCTCTCTGTTAACAAGACCCTTGACGACCGTGCGGGCAGCACATACGGGTTTCCACCGCGAATTACGATCGAATCAGCATAGATAACATTTTGCATAATGATCTTTACTTTACGATTAAGCCATTGGACTTCGGATCCGGATTAGTTCTATAGGTGGATGAGGGCGGTTTCGAATACTTTGACTTTGCTTGCCCCGAATCGATTGTGGTCTCGTGAGTCGTGTCGTGTCAAATTCAGAAGTTCCTGTTAGTACGAATTCAGCGTGAATTGATATTTCATGTATTGTGCTAGTCGCGTGCTCTTGACACGGGCCAATACAGGTTATTATAATTTGGGAGAAATGAACGGTTTTGGAATGTATTTCGGCTTGTAGCTGGAACAGTGGTTCTGGACTATTTGGGCTTTATGTTGGAGAACTTAACACATCTTACTCCTAGAATGATTTCAATTACTCTAAGGGTGATATGAGTTCGGAGATATATCATTGCCTTTGATAGTTAATATATTTAAATATTTTTTAAGTATATTGCAATCTCTCCTGTAACAGACAACAATTAAAAGTGTCGGATGACTTTAAAATTACAAAATATTTGGACCATTGTCAGAGGTTATGATGATCATAAATATAAGCTTTTGTCAATTTAAATGGATTATCTGCGGCAATAAACTTCAAGAAAATATATTCGCAAGAGCTTTTAAATTTGTATTCCCAAACACTACATTATTATGTATCCATGTGAAAATAACCCTTTTCCGGCATTTTTACTTCAAATCAATAGTATATTATCAATATTAGATAAATTGCAATAATAAACATTAACTCTGGACAGGCTAACCGTTGGGTTGTGTACTATAATGCGACATTGCAACAAAAGTCAAGAAACTACACCTGTAAGAGTTTTCAAATTTTCATTCCTAAACACATTATTATTTTGTTTCTATATAAAAACAACCCTATCCTAGCATTTCTGCATCAAATACTTGCAATAATAAAAATCAAAATGGGATAGGCCAACCATTGGGTTGCCTTCTAAAATGCGAGGTTATTCAGAAGAAAGTATCACCTGCCTTGATGCAAAATACACTTGCAAGAGCTTTGATGATTATGATTTTTAGGATTCAGAGTTGCTATAGAGTGTTACAATATAAGACAATATTATAAAATATGTAATTTTACTCAAATTTATCTAATATTATATTCAAATTAGACATCAGGTCTAAAAGTTACAAGTGATATAGAGGTATATAGTAAATGCAATTCAATCATTTTTTAATTTTTGTTGATATGTTTCTTAGAGTCAGAAGCAGTTCATTTATTCTCGTTCTCGTTATCATAATTAAAGTGAATAATTAAAACAGTAAACCCATAAATGCCTTTTAAATGTTCAATTTCGTATCATTAACAATAATATTTTTTCTTTCAATTGCCCTGGGTACTTGATATTCCACGAAATTTGTTGTCATTAAGTGTTAAATATAGCACTTACAGAACTTTTTCTGATAAAAAATATAAATGGCCACTTCTGTCGAACAATAATCACGACATTTATGCATATTTAATGTATCACACCGTAAACATAGTCATTATGCTCTTATGTTGATTCTCATACTATTTTTATGTTAAAATACACAGTCGATTATGCGTAGATGTGTCAGATTATTATAAATAACTCCCAAAAATCGATAAATATAAAGTATGGTTATATAAAGAATCAATATGATTACATAATGTATGAGCTCGTTAAAGCTATTCAAAAGTATGACAAAATATTATCACGTTAGGTTTTATGAGGAACATGATGTTATGCAATAGCCTATTAAATTAAATTATGGTATTAAAATTGAAGTTTATACACAGCGTGTCATCATCATATTTATGGGATTATAAGAGTTCAGTGTAGTGAGTTCACTGGAAATACTTGAGAAAATGATAAAAAATTTGATGAATCACCATCATTGACCTTCAAAATAGTAGTATTCTCTCAACTGTATAAATTTATTTTATAATAATCTGTTTTATTTTTTTTTAGGGTTTCACCTTCCCTCAAGAAGCCGGCTACCCCATCGATCCGTCCTCTAATCGCTTCTATCTCATGGAAACCCACTACAATAACCCATTCTATTCCTCCATGGAGCAAATGTCATCAATTTCTGGTACGGGTGCCACCATGGTCGACAGCTCCGGACTTCGGCTCTACTATACTCCGATTTTGAGGAAACATGATGCTGGAGTTCTTTCTGTAGGAATGGAGCCTAATTGGAGGCACATAATACCTCCAGCGCAAAAGGCAGTCATTTCCGAGGCACATTGCGTTTCCGATTGTACCAAGAGAGCGCTGCCTCAGAATGGTATCAGCGTTTTTGCTGTTATTATGAGGACACATATGATTGGAAGGAGGGTTCGACTACGTCAGGTGAGATAAAAAATATTTTATAATATTCTTATTTTTATATATATATATGTATTAAATATTATTTGTACCACTGGAAATGGTAAATTCTCAAAAAAAAATACAAATTGGTTTATAATCTTGTAAATTAGTAGTGTAAAGAATTATAGAAAAAATTACCTTATACCAAAATCAAGGGCGGTTAAATAAAAAAAATTCGAGTTTTTGCTCTTTTTTGGTAGTAACTAATGATTCACATCATATAGTCATATTACTTTGTATGATGCTCGTGTTGAAAATAAGCAGTGACGAGAAATCAGATAAATCCACAAACCAAGTACAATTAAACAAAAAATAACAGTTGTAGCTTAATTTTCATTAGTAATTCTAACAAAATCTTTATAAATATTCATAAATTTACTCGAGTAAATTTATCTGTTCATTCATTGTTTCAAGCCACCAGTTAATGATTACTCGTTATCAAGTAAATTTGATACAAATACAATAATTAAATATGGAGTGCAAAATAAATAGACAAGAATGAGGCATTTTTTCTGAAGTAAAATGATTAAGAGAAAAATAAATTATGTAAAATATTATTTGTCGCATGTCTACAATGCATACGTTTCATATTCAGACGATTATACCACGTCGGGGTCACCAATTATTACATTTATTTACTGATTATAAGTATTTATATAGTTATATAAAATTCTAGAAAAATATGATCGGTTTCAAATATTGAGATATTATTCCTATTTTGTTTTTATCCTCTTCCCAAACCAAGATCAACTAATGAAACTTTGTTTGATCATGGAGTTCAGTTTATTGACGAATATGAAAGTATAGGCCTACAAAAAGTGGTTTAATTATAGAAATTCATGAAAGTTGGGAATAATGGGTTTAATTTAGATTCCAAAATTATGTTTTTGCAGTTTTAAAAGTTGCTAAAATCCAATATTTATTTATTAATTTAATTATTTGCACATTCCAGAAAGTTTTTCCTACAAAGTCACACTTGCACCTAATTTGTCAATTGTATCCCCTGAACTCAAATAGCATTAAATAATTTATGTAATTTATATTATCTACTTTTTTATGAAAGTTTAATTTGAATGTTGACTACTTGATTAGAACCTACAATCAGAAAAAATATGTCAACTCCATTTGAATGTTTTTGCCAGTCTTTCAACAAATTAGCAGATCTTGTAAAGGTTTGCATTCGGTTCAATAAATAAAGTGGGACTTTTCTATTGACAATATGATTGATTCAATTAACAATACTAGAACTTTATGAAATTATTATATTTCATTGAATCCTGAATGAATCGCGGTCCATTGAGCGCTTTCAAAATTGGCTAAAAATAACTTCTGGCGACATGTAGGTGCTGTTAACCTTTATTAGATTCACATGCCCTCCCATTTTCTCGTCACTTCGAGCATAAAACATCCAAAGAGTCGAATAAATTTCATTATTTCCATTTCCGTGCACTGTATTTCAGTATTTCTGTATTTCTTCTCTTTGTGTATAGGCACGTTAACGTTAGTACTTACGTGCGCATAAACACATAACTCACGTACATATTCTTCGTATGTTACCATCGGCTTTGCCATGACTTGGCGCATTTTCTATAAGAGCGGAATATTTTAGCTATGTTCTGTAAGGGCTGTATTTGAAAAATGAGATGAGAAAAATTGCAAAATACAAGCTTCAAAATTCGTCATAATAGCTAAGCTCTACTGATTTTTGAGGTGGGGTCCAAAGGAAAAAGTATGTTTGTTCGAACAAGTTTACATTATTGCATTAAGTCAGTTTCTTGCATTAACATGATCTCATAATGATGATTTGTTTTCAAAAGTGTGCATTGGATATGGTTGTGACAAATTTTGTGGGTACGGTTGTGACATAAAGGTAAAGAACTAGTGGTGCCTTAAGGCAAATTGCTGAAACTTTCCGTTCTGTATTGAAATATTCGAAATGTTTTAAATAGATTATTATAAATATTGTAGTTTTCATTATTATTATTTTATAGACCAAATATAAGAGCTTATGAATTGGACGACGACGTTTATATATGTTTACCAGAAAAGTAAATAAACATAACTTAATCAATCGGATTTAAAATGAAGGGCATGGTCTAATATTTATAAGATTTATATAAACTGAATTTCTAAGTTAAAATTATATATTTGAAGTATACAAATGAGCTTATCTTTAGCTAGAATTTTTCTTTTATATATATTTTATTTAATAGCTATCAGAATTTACAAAATTCTATGAGCTATTTTGCTTATGTTTGTACTCACTCACACATAATATATACTCACACACAGTCATACACATAAATAAATTGGATGAATTTTTAAAATTTGCAATAGATGCCACTCCATTGAGTGCACAACTAATCTAGCTGAGGTATATATCGAGGGCTTTATCGAAATTGATCTATCTTCAAATCAATTGGAACTTTTCTTTTGAGCCTCCTAGATCGGGGTTCTTCAAGAACATGTTTCACTATTTCATTGGGATGGGATTCCAACTTCTCAAAATGGCGGTGACTGGTACTGCTAATTACATCTTTCATAAATGGTATGTTCAAGTCGTCATGAATAATTTTGTTACTGACATACCATGGAGCGGTTACGATCTGCCTAAGAATTTTTGATTGAGCTCGTTGAATTGAATCAATATGAGATTTTCTTGCACATCCCCATGATTCCACACCGTAGGTCCATATCGACTTTATTATTGTTTTATATATCAGTAGCTTGCTTTCAATAGGTAATTTGGATTTATTACCAAATAACTTACCCTACGGGAAGTTAAAAATCTATCATAACTAAGAAGACAAAATCTAATACTTAACTGACAAGATACAATTTGTAAGACAAAGGAGAAAGGGTAAGAAAATATCAATACAAGAAACTGAAAGATTTCACAATGATTTCTTGTCTAAAAAATTATATCATGTTACATACTGTTATATACTTTTCTCCCAGATAACTGATATATTAAAAAAAAATATTTCTAATAAAAAATAAGTGGCACAACCGTACCCAGCATCTCATAATGTTTTGAAGTTTTAAACCTAACTTAACTACATATTATATAAATTTGTGTTGATAGACGAAATTAGTGATATATTCCTCCCCAAGCTCGTTATATTACGTCGGAATTCCTAGAACATCGAATTGATCGACTTTTCCTCGATACAGAAAATGCATCTATAATTCAGCAATGCGCACACGTCTAGTGCCTGCCTATTGAAGCGCTCGTTCCAGGCACTTACTTAAATATAGATGTGCCAGATATAAAAGGAAGAAACATTCGACTCCACATACGTACATATAGGCGTACGAGCATTTGTACAAGCAGAAAAATCGAATTATAGGTTTCAATCAATTATTGCGCCGGTTATAGAATATGTGAGAACTGGTACGTTTTGCCAGGAATTGCTCCACTTGGGGCGATGACGTTGTAAGGGGTCACAGGAAAACTAACAGAATGATGTGCTGAGAGTTTTATAAGGAAAAATTATTTATTTATTGGTATAAAGGCTTCTACGTGACTCAGTAGTGAGATCTTTGGCTTTGCAACTTGAGGTTCCAGATTTCATTACCACCTTAGGCAGCATGATATCAAGCAGTAGTGATATCTAAGAATACAGATTTAAAATTTGTCTTTTCTCTGAATTTCTGTATCAAAAAGTATGAAAGGTATAAAATAATTTCAATAGTTCATGATTGTGGTAAATTAATTGTATGAACAACCAACAACAATATACACTAAATTTAGTGGATTTAGATCCGCTTCTATATATTCTAGTCTAATTAGCATAAAAGCAAGTTTTATTGCTAATGGATAATGAAAATATACTTTGTAAATAATTATTATGTTTCAATAGCACATAAAAATCTATTAAATGCACATAACAACTTCCCTTCATATGAGCTATTTGCTTGTCCATTACGATGCAAATCTATATCCGCTCGTAGTACGCGTGTTGCCATTAACATATAAATAGCATGTGAGCTGGGTTGTAATTAGTAGAATAAAATTAATATTATCATTTTATTAACAATTTAATAATAATATTGTCAATAATTAAACAGGCAAAATTATAATTCAGGTTTTTGTACAGTTGTGCAATTGATATTTGCAAGTCACTCAAGCACAAATAGTAAAATGTTAATGCTAACAAGGAAAATTTTAGATTTACTCTTCTAGGATTTTGATAAAATTTTGCATTGTGATAGAGTTGATTGTCATAAACGACACCTTAAAAGATTAGTCTACGAGAAGTGATTTAATTATAAAAAATAATTTAAGTTTTCAATAATATACTAAGCGCAATACGTACGCGACGACATAGGCCAACTTATGAAAATTACAGACAATACAGAACAAGGCACTACGACTAGCACCGACTAGCGTATTGACAGCCAAGACACTACTATCCGACAAAATACCGATATAAAACAATTATATAAAAAAACTCACTGAGAATTTTTACCTCAAATGTAGGGATAAAGACAATATCAAAGAAATAGTTTGATAGGGCAAACACGCCATGCCAAACTATATCCTGATCGACCAATAACTGAAATTGGAACACACTTAATTTATTGTTGTTGTTTTTATAATTTTCTTGTTATCCGAATTACTATGTTTAATATTATCTGATGAATATTAACTAATATATTTGTCAAACGTCGTCTTTTTTGTTTTGCCTTTTCAAAGTAACCATTTTACTTTATTGACGCCAAAAGATTGAAAATGCAATAGTACATCCTAACTAACAAAAATTACAAATATTTTAAGAAACCGGTTTCCAGCGCCCTCATTATTATTTCACCAGCCTATATATAGCCAGCATTATAATGACAGGAATATAAAGGCATATAATTATAAATGAGCACCGGCGACGATAACATTCAAGGTGCGCTTATATATTAAAAAAATGTTATGCAAAAAACACGATATATGGCGGAAATATTAATATTGATAACCATATGCAGGAATATAAAAACATTTGAGACCGGGCATGCATAGAAAGAAAACAAGAAAATGATTTGATGATTAGTTAATTATATCCTTTTGAAATAATATTTTTTTTAATAATATACATTAGTAGATCGCAAAATAATATTAATAATAATAATGCTAGTGAGATAAAAGATATATTTTTATTGTGTTCAAATTTATGAATATATTTAAAACCGAGATATATTAATGAATCGTGTAAAACATATTTAACATGTGTCAAAATAGAGACTTTGTATAATTACAATATACTTGGAACAATTAAGAAAAAATATTATAAAATTCAAAATTATACTTTTCAAAGTAAACTATACATGATACAATAAAAAATATATTAATTAAACTAACTTCAATAAAAAAGATATGTGATCAGTCTCACCATTTTACCGCATCAGAAATTGTTAAGGTGTAGATAAGTGTAGTCTTTTATGTTATAAAAAAGTAGAATAGATAATTTTTTTTATAATACCTAGTGCTATTACATACAAATAGTTGAAGAATTTATGTCTAACTATCGATTTAGGGGCCAATTCTCGAATAAAATAGAAATGTTATGATAGTGCTATTGTAGATAGAGCAGCAAACAAATTCGTATGAGTTGGTGGTAACAAACTGTCTTAAAACCTAGTATTATCACAAACAAGTAGTTAAATTAGTTGTATCTTACTGTCGACAAAAGCCCAAATTTCGAATAAAAGTTTAGTTTATCATAGATAGACCCGGAACTATTTTTCCGCATAAGATCGAGAGTGCCACAAGGTAGCGTGTTAAGACCTATATTTTTTCTAATTTATACGGTATGAGTTGGTAGTAACAAACTGTGAAGAAGCTATATATTTGCTGTGCAATTAGGCGTTTTACACATAAAACCTAAACAACAAATAACAATTTTATCATAGGTGCAACTTCCGACGTCTCTTTGATAACACGTACGTGAAGTTAGGTTTTATGTGTGAAAGGCCTGATTGAACAGCAAATAAATATAGCTTTTTTTAAGTAGTTTGTTAGTACAAACTCATACGCAGCTAGACCCGTAACAAAGTATTACCATTACATTTCTATGAACTATTTCCTAGATACGTTAACTGTTGCTTCAAAGCGATTTGACAAATAGGTCAACTAAAAACTGCATTTCCGCTATCACACAAATGAGCTTACACGAAAATACTCCGGCTTTAGAGAATTTTCCTTGAAAGTCAGCAAGAATATATATCAGGCAAACGTACCTGGTACCTATCCAGCAAAACAAGAGTTGTGTCTTGTGCCCTGGAAGCCGATGCCATTTCGTTGATTGCGGCCGCCCGCCAATTCAATCTTCCGCCTGCGGCAAGGAATTCGATTTCGTGCCACTGTGCACAACGCGAAGCTACCTCTAACAGGGTTTTCCGGGAACTCGGGAAAATTAGTCTTACACCGGAGAAATACAACCGTGGTCCAGTAGGAAGTACCGTTTTCATATAACAAGCAAACGTTTCTTTTGGTAGACAATAGGTGGTAAAGAAGATTTATGGAATATTGTTTATGAGAGAAGCTGTGAATATCTTTTTTGCTATGTCTCTGCATAAACATAGATTGACAAGTTGAAAATTTTCTAGTTCTGAAATCATTCATTTGAGTAAAATATTTCACCCAATGGTTCGACACTAATATTTTTTTATTTTTATTTTTTGATGAACTTTCCAAGCAGCGACCAGAACACTTCGGACACTCATATTTATTTTAGCTAAAACTTTCAGAGAATTGTTTTTTATCAATTTGGAACCATTTGAGCCCTTTGGGAGCAAGAATATTTGAAAATGTCCATATTAAGGACCACCCTTATATATATAATTTTTTTTATATATATTTTTCCTCGACCCAATACGACCTTTTCAAGTACATTGAGCTTGTTAACTCAGTTAATAACGCCGTTTTTTGTTGCGTAATAAATAACGACATTGTTGAATTTCAGAAAAGGCTTAAGGACGGAAAAAAATGTTGGAAAAACGTTTTAAATCTATATATAGACTTTGAGAATATTTCTATACAAATAAACAGCATAATAATGGTTGCCTATGATATTTTTGTAAATATATTAATAATGCTATTAAAATCTGAGATTGCTCATATTTGTGAGATACATTTAAAATATGATATAGATCTTTGAGAAAACCACAAATTACTTTTACATCGTTGGTAGTACCGTTGCTATCACAAATAGTATGTACATTGTTACGAATTTAGAAGCTATTTCAATACTGCAAATGTGATTTCATTTAATAATATCTATTTTATTCTTATTCCAGATCCGTCGTGGCACTGAACAGCCTCCAATTTCGGCAGATGGCAACCTCGACTTCGACTACCAAGAATACAGACGACTTGGTTCACCTGTAAGGGTTCTTCCAGGTGATCATCTGATTGCAGAATGCACCTACGACAGTTCAGAACGTGCTGCAATCACACTAGGGGGTCTTACAACCAGAGAAGAAACTTGTCTAGTTTTTGCCTTGTATTATCCTAGACAAAAAGAATTGACGTCTTGTCATTCCTTGCCCAGTTTGCCAACGGTCTTGCACTCTTTGGGGATTCAAGAACTTCATTCGTAAGTAGAAATTAAATTTAAATATAAGGGTTATATATATGGACCGGTTCTGGCGCATAACAGACCAATGTTATGGCAAGGCCATGCTACGCTTCAATTTGCAAACATTAAGCTACTCAATTATACTAAATACTGTTAAAATGTCATGTATTTACTGTGCATTCAGGTGGCTTGTACATAAACTGCAACGTTACTCGTATGTTATGAAGCTGGGTCAGAAAGACCCTGTTAACTAAGATCGTTTTTTGACATTTGTGCGGTTTTTAGGTTAGGTTTCTGTCTGACAACCTATGAAAAACGCCTGACTGCATAGCAACGAAATGGCTTTTTACAATATTTAGAACGATTTTGTATGGAAAGTTCTACATAACATAGCCTTCCCATAGCATTGGTCTGTTACACGGCTGAATCGGTCCAATAATAAATTAGTTTGGTTTCAGTTATTGAAAATATTCAAATTTATTTTATATGACTATTCAAAATGCTTCTTAAATTGTGTAGGTATAATTTCTCGATTATTGATTAGTTATACTGTTACCTTTACCTTGAAAAAAAAATAGCGTTGGTAATACACAAGTTGGATATTTTAGGAAGAAAATTAAGATATAAATAGGAATAGAAATTAAATATCAAAACCTGCTATAAAGTGATTTTCACGCGATAAAAATCCACTTTATGGCAATCTAAAAGCTCTAACGTAAAATCATAAATGCCTCGTATTCAAGCAAAGCAAATACCTAGCACGTATCGGGTATAATTTTTAGTGCGAATAAAATATTTTATTTTATTTTAAATGCAGGGATTATAATAAAAAAATAAACAGGGAAAAATCATGATTTAGATAGCAAAAAGCAGCGAATGATGATACACATCATATAAATTGGTAATTATTGTGTTGGAGGTTTTCAATCTAATTAATTACATTATACTATCATTTTAAAGCACATACAATAAGAAATCTGTGAATCGACCTAAAATTACGCATAATATGCTTGTAGCAAAATTCGTATTCAAGAAATTATGAATTTTATAGGATATGTTTACTACACATTTGCACATTATTTTAATTATTATGGGAAATGTGGCTGCCCCAATCTGTATTTACTTAATTGTTTTATTGTGTTTGTCAGTATTTATTAATTCTTTATTAGTATCTATATTTTACATGTGTTATATTGGTAATATTTTGTAACACCACATCAGATCAGATAGGAAAACTTTTTTGCTAATACTTGAAATAATATAAATTATCTACAAACACTAATTATAGTTTCCTTTATTTTGGTATCGTATACACATTACATCATAATTATTTATCGATTTTCTTTCTGCAAAAGTACCCGTTTCGTAAATTTCTAACAAAACTACATGATGTTATCTGTATCCATTATTATTTTTGTGCAAGGGTGGTCCTTGCCAGGCGGGTGGTCACGGCAAATAATATACCTGTCAAAGTTTTTAGACATTGTACATTTTGTGTGAATATTACAGGTAGTTTTTTGGAAGAATTAAATAACTACCGCTGGGTCTATGATAAATTATTAAAGGGCCAAACGAAAATTGAGTGTTTCCAGTCATTATATCAAATTGTGGTGGAATGACTCAATCGCTATTCTAACACGTGTGAAACTAATTGTGGTGTTTTTTCGGCACATATTTTTGGCTTTAAGCTTTGAAATACAATCGAAACTAGGGGGCATGGCATCGTGCCTTAAGGTAAATTGCTTCAACATTCGGTACCGAATATGCATACGTACATACATACATGCACACACACATACATACATGCACACACACGTACATTAATTGTTTGTCACGTATGCCAAAATGCTTAGAAACCTTTGAAACGTAACGATATGCAAAGATTTTTTGGCAATTACTGGGTTTGTCGTGGCGAAGGTCGTTAACGCGTTGACTTTGTATGGACAGAGTCGCGCGTTCGATTCCCCGCTCTGGCAATCTGACATCGGGCAGCGTGATGTGCATTTTTAATTGAAAATATAGATCAAAATATGTTTCCAATTGAATATAAGCCCATCTCGGGCACTGCGGTGTGAAATGGCAATGGGAAATCTCTCACACTATTCTTCTCTGAATCGAGTTGGAGTTTTAACTCAGCTCACGGACCTGCCCTAAATGATGCCCTAGGGCAGTACACCGATTATTATTTACTGGAACTTATCCTACGGGAAGTAGGGTTGTATCGCATAGCGAACAAAGGTCATTGCGTTTGTTTATAACTTTGACTTTATTAATTATTTAAAAAATATGTTGAAATAACAATTCAATTTCAAACAGCCTTTTTTATTACGTTTTTTTTTAAAGGGATATCAATAACAAGCGATGCTCGCATGAACACACGTATGTTGTCATACATGGTTGCATCGGGTAACACCATACAATTATCTAGTTCGCTCTTCCGTACATTTTCATTCTTCGGGGCGGAACGGCACACTTTGACCCCAAGAGTTTGACCGGGGCGACTTTTCTGACGGAAGTGTCGGCCGAGTTAATTTTCCTGTTTCCATTCTGCCGACTTAGGGCGAGAGAGTTTCATTCTCATTCTGTGAATGATAATAATTTTCATAGGTGGAGCTCATAGTGAGATCACACACACACACACACACACGCATATATATATATATATATATATGTATATATAACAAATGTATTCTGAGAGGATAGATAGATATTAATTTAGAAATATGAACAATCAACACTCGTTTTTGCACTAATTTATTAAATAATAGTTTCACAAACGTTTCGGGACTTGGTTTGTCTCATTATCAGTGTGTTATAAATTTAAAATCTAGAATATGGGAACCTATATAAGCATTATGTGTTATCCGTTACACGTCGTTTACTATACTGAACTGAATTCTCTATTAAGGTCAAATAGATGAGTCATATCAAGTAGGGAGAGAAGGAATAGGGCCCAGTTGAAAAATAGATGTTGCTAGGAAAACTGTATGAACTTATAACATTTTTATTGTTTTCACACGTTTCGAAACATTGTTTTGTGTCATTTTCAGTGGAATGTAATTGTAATATTCCTAATTATTTTCTATTAATCATTGTTCACAAATGCATTACAAAAATAGTTCTTGTCACTTTAAATCGGAATAATTATATAAATATTTAGAAATAATTTCTTATTGTAGAGAACATGTCACAAAGTCGATGTCCGATGCGCCAGTAGATCAGCAGTATTTCTGATATCTTTGCTCCCAAATTGATAAAAAAAATCTCTGAAAGTTTTAAGTCTTCATATTACCTTTAAGATAGTCTGCACTCCCAATCAAAGTCTCTTGGTTATTCTTTCTAAGTAAATGCTTATTTTATAAAAATATCAAATTTTTGTTGCACTTTTTTATTTTTGATCGAAATAACCAAATGCAATGTTATTCTCAAAAACTTGATTCACTTGTCGCTAAGTTATAAAATTTTAAAAATCAAATGGAATTTTACCCATGTTATTGCCATAAAAAACTTTGGTTGAAGTGCGGACTATTTTAAAGTTAATATTTAGGGCTAAAACTTTCAGATTTTTTTATTATTGTGCAAACGTTTGAATTCCTGGGGGCAGTAAAATTCTAAAATTTTCATTTTAAGGACCAGCCTAATATATATTTATCTCGGTTATATCTTGCCTTTGTTCTCTATGGTAAACGCAGTAAGGCATTGCTTCATGGGGGAGGATCTAGAATGCTATAATTATCTCTCTGAAGTTATACTTCTTTTCTAATTATTACCATTCGCTCTACTTATTTCCGAAGATTGCAAGTTTATTAACACTTTGGCGTGTCAGCGTGTAGTTTTTTTATTCATTTCTTTTCGATCTTAACATATGTTTGGCAAAATCTTTAGGCAATACAGCAAAGTAAAAATTGTAGAAGATTATATCTTTATTGATCTGCTGAACGTGTCGATATATTATTTTATATAAACCCTCAGGACTATTAATGAAAAAAGAGGAAGAATAAAATAACTTGAGAGTAAAAACTACAGCACTTAGAAGCAATTAAAGCTAAAAAGGTGGGTTTAAAAAAAGTCAAACATTTAGAAAAGTGGCTCTAAAAACCAATACCGAACTAGTTTTTTACTAAACTAAAAAATTATTCACAAAATTCAATTCATGTCATTCAAATAAAATATTTTGAAATTATATGTTGTTTTACTAAACTTTGTTCTCAAGTTATCGAATTATTTCAATCGAATGATTTTTTAAGCATTTCCTAATATTTTTTAGTAATTTTCACAAAGCGAAGAGGTAGTAGTATCATTCCTTTTGTTCATACTATTTTTGTAGATTTTAATGAAGCATGATTCTGAAAAGCGTCTTTGAGACGTATTCGATTCATAAAGTACCGTAGCAACGTCGAAAATGAGGATTTGATTACAATTTTTAAATTATTGGTGATCATAGTTTGATTTTGATTGACCCACATAAATTGCATCGCAATCTTTACATTCAATTTTGTATACTATGTTGAACTAACGTACGGCGGTACGGCAAACTTCATCGATTTAAAATTTTATATTTATTTGATAGAAATTTGCAATTTAGAACTACTTTATACTTACATCATGAACTTCGTAAATAATTCTTTAAATCATGAAAATATTGTTATTAAAGTTGAAAGTATCGATTACAAAAGAATCATTGCATTGACTTATGAAAATAAACTTTTTGTATCCCACAAATACAATATCTCGCATGAATAACAATATCATATTGTTTCATTACTTTATTCTATGCAAAGTGCAATAAAAAGTACTTTCTATTGTTTACGAACCGTTTTATTTATATTATAAATAAATTTATAAAAAATATTTATTAAATATGCAATTTATAAAAATAATAGTAATTTAACTTATGTATTTGATCTCAAGTTTATGAGAGATGATGAGTAAATACGTAACAAAACTTATGAGTAATTTAGACGGTGCCTCAACAATTAAAGGTTTTGTTCTGGCATAAGTCACTTAATATTATTAATGAATTATTTAAATTTATGAATTAACATTTCCTTGACGAAAATAGCTCCGTTGTTGTCAAATGTTGTGGTACTTAGCCATCCATATCAGATCCGAAATCACAATTTTCGCACGCACCACGTTCCGAATAATGTTTGCGTAAACACGTCACATTATAACACTAATCTAAATTAGATTTAGAATTCGCCAGAGGGTGAAATACCTATCCATGTTATAGCCTTCAAACTCTCATACAAGCACATTGATCGGTTTATGTCATGATTACTGAGCAAATAGCAATTAATCCATACATTGCGAATTTCAATAACGAACGCCGAATTGGATATATGAAACTTTAATTAACGATATATGATGCGTGTGGAAATATTTCGCGAAAAGCTATTTTTGCGACATCGATATGCAAATTGTTGTTGGATATAAAAAATTTATGAAGCTGATGCTGTGATTCTCAAAGAAACCTAATAGACATATTTGGTATAGTGCTAAATATTCCGAATGCTGTTGAATCTAATGCGATTACTATACTGTACAAAAATGTAAAAAGTTATACTTTAATAATTTATTTTTTTCTCTTTTACAGTGGATCCAATCCAATAAGGATTGCTCGTCCTCCTGAATTGGCTGGCATGACTTTGGAATCTCGGCTGGTGTCTTACGATTGGGAAAATCAGCTTGACAGTTTCCAAGAAGCGACCAGAAGAGGATCCTTCAAACCTCTCTGTTGGACATCAAAGCCATCTTTATTGCCGGTTAGTAATAATAAATATCTATTAAAAAATCGAGTTTGGTAATTTACCTAAATGATCTTATATTGGACGTGGAAATATCATAAACCTTACTTTACATGGACTGCTAGTCGAGCGCAAAATAAGTGCCAAAAGATAAAATGGGATTATGACGTCATTGGGTGATCGAGCGTTGCCGACAATCGTGGAACACTCCCAAATGATTAAGTGTCTTAGTGACGTCACAGTCCCCATCTATATTTTGACACTTTATAAAATAGAAAACATATGAGGACTAGCAGTCCATGTAGTATAAGGTCTATGGAAAATGTATACAGATATTTAATAATTGCTGCGTTTAATCAGGAGCTGTTATTTTTCTTCAATGAAGTTTCATTTTAATCAATTATCTACAGCTAAAGTTTTATTATTCCATTTATCATATTAATTTTGATTAACGAAAACTCATTTAAGGAAATGTGATTAAATTTCAAATTATGGTTTTCAATATGTCTAATTTAATACTGTATCATTTCATTTAGTTCCTTCATAATTAATTAAAGTTTTCGTGTATCGTTAACCAAAGAAATAACAATGATCCAAAAGTTGATCTTAATCACCTGCCAAGCATTCAAAACTAATTTGATATCTTTTAAATTGATGCTCATTATTTTATATTTTAGTTTGCACCGTTTATAAAAATGTTTAATTGCATGTTCTGAACGCATAACAAAAAGCGGAGGTAATTGCAATAAAAGCAAGCAATAAAATAAATTTTATACGTTTGTTGCATTTTCATTAGCTTTAAAATATGTTCAATTAATTCCTTAATTGCACACTGTGTTTATCTTTTGGAAATGTCAGAGTTGATGCACCGTTTGGTATTATTGTTATATTATTCCTCATTTTTGCTTCTTGGTTTGCCATGTAAAAGAATTACATGATATTTTATATTTATAATAAAACTTTCATTTACTTTTATTAAACTTTCAAAGTTTCGGTAACATGTTTTATAAAACCATACGTTTCAGTAATATTATCGTAGTTATTGAAGCAAAACTTCTTTCGTACAAATGCAACGGAAGTGAGTTACGGCAAGGTCGAGTGCCAATGATTCGTCATTCGCTCTCGATGAGATCATTTCTATACAAGTCGATTGTGATTGGTCGTCATATTTGCGCGAGGCTTCCTTGTATGCGTGACTTTATACGTGCGTACGTCACCGAAAGCGTGAAGCATATTGTTCATTTTTTGGTGTTTCATGTCATTACATTTCAAGGTTAAATATTAGTACAAATCGAAATGAGTTAATGAAAAATGTCTGGATCGGAAGAATATTTTATCCCGTTCCCCATAAATAATTATAGTGCAAATAATAAAACAAATGAAAAATCTGTGCCGTGTAAGAAACGTAAGTTTATTGAAGTAATTTGTATTATTTATGGTTACTATATATTTTTGAGGTTAATAAAATGGAAATTATTTTTATATGCAAGACAGATACTACAACTGTTCAAAGAATGAAACTGTATCGCCAGCGGAAAACTAAAAAAAAACAATCAATGATAGTATGTTAATTTTAATTACATGAAGTTTTGCAAAACGTCTTTTGAATAGAGTACTGTTAAGCTGTTAGTCCACATTTTTACAATTTTATCTAACAAAATCATTTATCTGTCTCTTCCAGGGTACCGAGAATTTAGAGTCCCACTACCCCAACATCACCCGGCCTTACATCGCTCCTGATTCCTGTGGGAGAGTCACCTCCAGCATACCAGGAGCTGCCGTCCTCCTGGATGACAACCACATAGAAGGAGCAGCCAGGAGTAAAGTCTCAAGGAGCAGTGCTGGCCAACAAGGGGAAACTTTGGGTCTCAGTTCTTCGGACAAAGTCCGAACGAGGTGGCAGTATGTCGCAGCAATTGTGTTAACTGTGTTCTTGGTGCTGTGATTACAGTAAATATAAAACAGAAAAAACTGCTAAAAATATATTGTACATAATAATTGATCGATTGAGTGCGGTAATGATAGATGTAGATAATTTTTGAATAATATTGAATGTGTAGATAGATTTTTTGAAAATGCGAGTTTGTATGTGTGCATGAGGATTTTGATGTTTGTATTTGTGGGACTGTCACACTATCAAAATTTTTGTTATGAATTTTTATGACAAAATGATCTTGGTTTATTTAGAACAGTTGTGTGGCTAAGTCTGAAAGATTAAAGATGTTCAATGGGGCTTTATATAGTTTTATTCATTGACGTAAAAAAAATTACTTGAATTTATTGTATACAGAGTTGATTTTATTTTATTCTAATTACCCATTGGACTATCCTTTATCGACATATCGAATATATGTATTTTATGTTTAAAAATTGACCTAGTCAAAACAAAAGAAAGTATATGTAATCCTTAAGCGTAAGTTGTATAAAATGTTATTTTTATGAATAAAAGCTCTCGAAAGAGCAATTTTTAAGTTATTATAAATATATTAAAGAAGTATACTGCTTTTTGCTTTTTAACACGTGATTGACAAAATATTGTTATGTTGTAGTTAATTACCAACTATTTTAGCCAAGAAATAGAAAATCAGTTTTTTCATTTAATGGCTTTTAATGAGATTTAAAATAACCGCTATTTAATTATAGGTCACTATTTGCATTCCAAAATAGTACTAGCGTCCGTTAAACATTGTATAATATTAAATAGATATTCACAAATAAATGCTACATGTGTTTTACATAAAATGAAACCGAAATGAGAATATTTTTCATAAATCTGTGTGAAAATTTAGTCACTAATCGTTAGTCATATTGAAATAATAGACATAAATATGATAGATGTAACTTATAATCGGTGTTTCTCCATATGAATATATATAGAAGTAAATATTGTAATTGAAATATTATTTTGAATTCGTACGATTTGACGAACATGATGATAAATTTTTAATAACTATTTTATAAAATTTACTAGCATCAACAACGTCTTATTGTACGAATTCTATATTTATTACTACCTAAATTTTTATTTAATATTTTTCACACATATTGCATTTGTGAATCAAACTGAACATAACCTTTGAAATAATTTTTTTATATAAAAATATAAATATCTGCGAATTATTAAAACCGAAACAGAATATGTCTTTGAGTTATATTTTGCACAAAAATGTCTTAATTGTAAATAAAATAGAATAATACGATTTTGTTAACTTGTTCTTTTTTGTTGGAGCAGTTTGTAGTAGTGTTATGATTGTATATAAAATAGCTAAAAATTGAAAAAAATGTATATGAAAGTTTTAAAAAAATGGACATTAAGTATTTATTTTGGAGTTGAAGTGAATGGATTTGCAATTTATAATATGGCATTAAAAATAATTGTTGTAACCATTCAGTTTTTGAAGAAGTGTAGACGGGCGACAATTGATTTGCTTTTGGCTGAATTTATGAGACATTCATATCGTATTTTGAAATATATCATTGGTGCCAATGAATCTCATAAATGGTACACATACATATATAAATTTCGTCGCCGGTCTATATTTCATCACCATCCTATTTGTAATATATATAATGACCAAAACTTATTATCTGAATGTGAAACAGAACAATATTTGAAATAGGAGCGCACATTAATAATTTAAAATATCACAAAACGTCACAAATAATGCTGACAATTAGATTGCTTTTAATTTATTATTATAAATACCTCGCAGATAGCGATGCTATTATTTAAATTAATTTATTAACAAGCGAATGAATGAATATTTTAAGTATAAGATACTATAAAATTGTAGAAATATTCATAAAAACATAATTTAACGCTGTACAGTGTAGATATCCCTAATCATAAAAAAACTATCTTGTGTAATATATTTTATAAATACAAAACTATAGCAATAAAATAATATGAATATATATGATGTGTTTTTTATATTTTTGCTCATACTGAAATACAATTATTTTCAGGATTATATTTAATTCGCTAATAAATAATTATATATTAAATCATAAAAATAAAATTAAATCAGGTTCAATAAAAATCAGAACTACATACATAACCAAGTATTTGTTTCGAGAAGGCAACTCAGTGGTCAACCACATCTTTCATAAGTGTAGACAATATGTTTATTAGGTTTGGTGGCATATATATATATGTTGCAGCAATGCCGGCGAAAGGCTATTTTCCCTTGAGGTTATATTTAAGATGTATAACCTGAAGTGGTAATTTGATATCATACTGCTTGATATCGAACTGGCCAAGATTAGAATGGAATTGGGACTGGTAGTGCTAATTCTTCGCATTAAACCTTGCATTTGATAATACAGTGATTTAAATATATAGAATATAAATATCGCTGGACCTGCCTTCCCAAAATTAGTCAACTCTAAAATATTTTTTGATATATTCAGATATCAAACTCTATGTTCTCTCAAAAAATGAATTGCCATTTCTGCACTTTTTGCTCCTTATCTTCGAAAAGGCTGGACCTGCCTTGTTCAAAATCTAATTACAAATCTGCTTTTCATCAGTAGGAATGAAATGTTTTTTGAATTATTCAAATCGGTCGATCCGTGCTCTCGAAATTATGCGATGATCAGCCACGTAGTTTCTTGAAGTGAAAAATATTTCGTCCACATTTTAGCCCACAATTTCTGAATCGATTTTAAAAATTCAATAACCGTTCGAAAGATATTGGTTGGGAATCGTGCTGATTAGTTTTTGGTAAAAATCGGCCGCGCCGTTTTCTTGTAATAAAGTTTTAAAAAAAAATTTCGAAGATTTTTATGATTTTTTTTTTGACGGTAGATACCGTAGTCCTCTAGATCACACTAAAGTATTACGGCCCTACGACAAGCCGTTCAATTTTAAAAAAGAGTGCGCGTAAGGATCACACGCGATTGAAGTAAAACTTTTAATATTGTATGAGTAGGCAATTAAGATAACAATAAAAAAACATCATATTTGAATTTTAAAAATCATTTATTAATAATCACATAACATCAATAACACAGTTTAAAACAACAACGATAGATTGATTGCTATCATATTTCATATATGATATAATAGGTTTGTGATAACTAAAATGAGAGACATAAATTTTGCTTTGTAAACTATGTACATTTCTGGAGAAAACTGCATCAATAGTCGAGCCATATCTTGTGGTTGAATCAAATGGAGAATTATTCATTGTTAAATTGAATTTATTATTTAAAAAATCAATTAATGGTTGAGATTCTTCTGAACGAAAATTGACATTGAAATCTCCAGCAAGAATTAATGATATCTCGTTGTGATTAGTGTTTAAAAGTTTTGCACCCTCATTAAAAAAATGAAGTAACTGCTGATGAAGAAATTTAATAATATTTGATATGTTTTTATTGGGAGAAATTTAAAGGACGACTATAATCAATGTTTGATTCTGTGTGTTCACACAGCGGACAACTGCAATATCACCTACTTGTGTAATTTCATTAGGAATATCCAGTAATACCGTTGGCGCAAGAAACTGCATAGGAGTGGCATTATGAACAGTATCTGAACATGAATGATAGACATTACACAGCTACACCACCTGCTCTTTAGTTTGATCGTTTGAATTGAGTAACGCAGTAATAGTTCTGAATATTAATTCGTTCTTCATTATTAATCCAAGTTTCCGAAAATAACAAAAACGTACAACGTTATAGCACTTTATCTTGCAGATCAGGCAAATGAGCTCGTAAACTTTGGCAGTTAAAGGAAAACAATGAAATGTCGTTCAAACTTATTATCTCACTCAATTTTTCTTCTTGTGTTATTAATCTACAAGTTGAAAGTCTTTGAAATTCAGTTTTTAAGTCCATTAATCCTGCTGGCCGTTTTCTTCCATTATAAAATTTTTTGTCGTTGTTTTAGAAATGATGAACAATCCATTAATGCTGGTAACTCGTGATAATGCAACATATAGAAGCTGCTGATTATGTGTTTTATTGTATTCATATACAATTTTATCAAAAGTACCACCTTGTGATTTGTGTATTGTGAGTGCACAAGCAGACACTAAAGGAAAATGATTTCTTTTGACAAATATGATTTTATTTCTATTCATTGGAATAGATGAAGATCTCCTGAGAATCGGCACAGCTGTCCTACTGATATTAAGAGTTTGAATATGATGTGCAGCTTTCTTCTTATTTTGTTACCTATCTTACCAGGAAATTCAAACCATAAACGTAGAAGTTCATCATTATCGCCACGTTCTATGTACACTAATTTTCCTACACAACCATTAGCTAAGCCATCACTTACATCAATATTAGTTGTTATTATGTAAAATTTATTCAGAACTAAAATTATTTCATACGGCAAACCCCCGGTATCAATAACCGATTTTTGTGAAACTGTTGACGAATGTATGATTGTTGATATGTCGCATGGCAACCTACACAAATATCCGTGGCAGTAGATATTATTTTGTCTTCAACGAGATTTAATATAAATTTATTATATTCCATGACACATTTATTCTCTAAGAAAAGTCTTATTCCATGAGGACATAATACAGCAACCTCTTCTTTTGTAAAAAAACGTGATTCAATTAATGCAAGTTCATATAGGGTTTAGCGCTCGACTTACGCATGACATGACGGGAGTGGATACTCGCGACATCAGCGCTTACGGCGTCGTAGTGTTCAACTTCACATTGGCGTTTTCGTTGCATTTGTACGGATTTACACCCGTGTAGCCTAAAGAAATTTTTACACCCATATTGCGCCCAAAGAAGTTTTACTTCAAAATTGTCCAAAGTTTGTAAAAATTAGTATGGTTTTTTTGGCATTTGTCAAAATTAGACCTGAACCGATTTCATAAATTTAAAAGCCATTTGATGTATCTCAATGAGGACTATAATTTGTCAGTTTTGTGAGACGATTTGCCGAGCCGTTTCTTTGTAATTTGAAAAAAAGTGTTAAACCTTTCGTCCACATTCAAGCTAATACTACCGAATCGATTTTAAAAAATCAAAAACTGATCGAAAGATATTAGTTGGGAATGGTACTGATTAGTATTAGGTGAAAATCTACCGAGCCGTTTTATGTAATTAACTGCTGAAAAAACAATTTAAGACGATTTTTATG